GGGCCCGCGCCGCCAGGGCCGCCCTCCGCAGGGGCTGAGGGGATGATCCGTGCCCCGCGGGGTGGTCGCTAGCGGAAGGATGACCACTCCCGCCCTGCTGCCGCTCTCCGGGCGGAGGCTGCCCCCCCTGAACCTGGGCGCCTCCGCCTTCCCGCACCACAGGGCTACCTTGAGACTCTCCGAAAAATTTATCCTGCTCCTTATTCTTAGTGCCTTCATCACCCTGTGCTTCGGGGCGTTCTTCTTCCTCCCCGACTCCTCGAAGCACAAGCGCTTTGACCTGGGCTTGGAGGATGTGCTCATTCCTCACGTGGACACCAGCAAAGGGGGCAAGAACCTCGGCGGCTTCCTCATCCACGGGCAAGGGCACGACGAGCACCGGCACAGGTAGGTGCCTTCCTCGCCGGTGAGGGAGCGGCGCTGCCGCTGTGGCGGCGAGCCGGGTCCCCGTGGGAGCAGGACCGGGTGGAAGGGAGGGAGGTCCGTGGAAGTAGGTCCTTCCCGTACTGCTGTCGCTCCTCTCTCCGACATCCTCACGTCTTCCCAACGCGTACCAACTTCTGGGCGCTAGCCTTGCGTCCTCCAGCTGCCATATGTAGCTGTGGCTCCGTGTTTTCTTTTCCATCGTGAATTTAGCTTTCTGGCTAGCGAGGGCCGGGAGGGTAAATATGAGCTCTCCTCCAGTGACTGATGTATTTTTCTCGCCCTAGCTAATTCCCTGGGTCAGTCGTGGAAAAAAGGGCATTAAGTTACGGCACTTGTGGAGACAGTATAAGTGACTGAAAAACTGCTGCGTCTTTTCTATAGCTTTTATGTGCTTACTCAAAACAGCTGCTTGTTGCTGAATAGTGTAGCAAGAACTTTGATCTGATGAAGACTTCGTGCTGTGACGCAGAGGCTGTCAGCCTACGATGTGCAGGACACAGAACTAGTGTAGGTGGCATAATTGCCTCTTCTGGCCCTTAAAATCGTTTGTTATAATGTTATTCCAGACAATTGGAGATGCCGGTGGCTAAGTTTCCTTAATTGTGGTTGCCAGTGTAAAGACATTGCAGATAAAATAGTAGTTAAGAGTAATAAGGGTAAACGTCATGCTGTTGATCGCTTTCTGGAGCCACCTAAAGCTTTGTGTGGTGCAAGCCTCTAAATGTTCAAGACTGGGTCATGTGAACTTAAGCCTTCAAAACTGAGATTCAAAAAACTTAAATGAGGGTTTCACAGTGTATTTACTTCTAACATACACTAATTGCTTAAATCCTGCCCTAGTGCCTGGATCATAGTGAAGCTGACTGATCTCTTTTCACTGTCAAAGATGGGTAAAATGTGATGATGACGGGTGGTAAAATATACGTTCTTCAATACTCGAATTAGTAATACAGTGAAATTTAAAGAAAGGTTACTTATGCTGATACTGTTCCTTGAGAACAGTTTAAAATATATCCTATTGACATGATATAAGAATTATTTAAAGATTATTTGTGCTAGATTAAAAGGAGAGGGTATAGTTGCCTCTTTTAATTCATCTGTTCTGAGTTATAAAGACTACCTGAATACCGTGGTATTTTTCCTTAAGGCATCTTTGCTGTTGAATGTCTTGGGGCACTTATCATCAGCTCTTTCTCCCTAACTGAAAGGGCATGGATGCTTAATATTTAACAAGGACTTCTTTTGTCTATGATGTTAATTGCTGGCACGGTTAAATGTAAATGTTGCACAAAACATAGGTTTGGACACTCCCTAATATGCCTTTGAAGTTCTCATCTTTCACTGTCTTTTTTGTGTGATCTTATTTCTTAGCTTTCACAGTCACTCTGGTACATGCAGTCAAAATCAGGTTCTGAAATAGAAGACAGATGAAACAAAGAGAGGCGTTCAGCAGAAATTTTCAAAACTCCAGCTGTGACTGTTATACCTTGTGTTGCCCAGTAGATGGGCTGTAGAAAAAGGAGTTTGTTGAGACTGATAGTTCTGGAGTGATGCTCTTGATTAACCTACTTATGTGGGTCCTTTTCATGTTTCCTCTTTAATTACTGAGGCTACAGCTTTAGTAATGGTATGAAGTGCATGCTACTTTGTCTGTCATGTGTAGATAAGCAGTAACTTGTAACTGTTGGAGCTAAATGCATTTTGCTTGTTTGGGATCTGTTCTTTAAAAGAAGTGGTTATCCTGTCATCAGTTAATTGAGCAAGAATAGATATTATTCCTGTTGTTTTAGCCCTGCAAGCCATTGGATTGCTCCAAGTGTGTCTTAACTACTAAAAAAGCCTGCCTGCTTAACCTGCTTGTAAGACACTTGTGTGAATGCCACAGTATGCATTGTGAAGCAAGGTTATGTGCTTTACTTCTGGAGCGACTTTTTTGGCTTATTACCACATAGTCTTATCAACAGGCTATTTGCTAGCCGGGTGCTGATGTGGTGACTGTTTTCCATAAAGGAAAGGACAGAAAGGAACTGCTATTTTCAGTGCTGGGTTCCTGCTTCTGGATTGCAGGAACATTGATAGATGGCGTTTTGAGAAAGTAAAGGGTCTTCAGTAGTGAATTCTAGATTACTTGTTATGTCAGTTTGGGATGAAAAACTTTGTTCAGCTTACTATCAAGGAGCAAAGTCAAGCGTCAGCTACTCTGTAGGTGATGTAGGACAGAAAGGAACTGCTATTTTCAGTGCTGGGTTCCTGCTTCTGGATTGCAGGAACATTGATAGATGGCGTTTTGAGAAAGTAAAGGGTCTTCAGTAGTGAATTCTAGATTACTTGTTATGTCAGTTTGGGATGAAAAACTTTGTTCAGCTTACTATCAAGGAGCAAAGTCAAGCATCAGCTACTCTATAGGTGATGTTTTTTGGATGGCACTGAGGAGTTATGGTGCAAAAGATCAAGAGAAAATAACCTACTGGTAATACAAGGGAGGAGGCGGTCTAATGTGTGAAGTGTGATGATGGATTGACAAGCTGTCTTTCCAAGAATTGTGGGACTTCAGAAGAAATCAGATGACAGGTCATTCATATGAAGTATACCCCTGATCATGAAATGACAGGTGTGTTGATTTAGTGACTAAACGAAAGGGTTTCTTCTGTGAATGCTGGTATTGACCTCTATCAAACAGTAAAAACTACGTATCATGGTTATGCTGCTCCCTTGGTATATAGGCTATAATATTTTAATGCTCATTTTTCCCTACCCCTTAAATTTTGAGCTTTGTAGGCTATTGGAGGATTTTCATATGTCTGTCTTCTAGCAAATATAGCAGTGACGTAGGTAGAGGGTTGTCACGCAGCCATGCTTTAGTGTTGGGTGTACAAACAATGGTTCTCACTGGACCTTCTCTGTATTCCTCATATTGCTTTCCCACCTCTTCCCCTGAGCCCCCTTGACATTCTTGAGTGTTTTTATTATTGTTACAGTGGTTACCCCTTGGCAACATTCACTTTACATCTTCCATTAACCCGTTTTTTTCTTTTTTACCGCTCCTGTCCTTCTTCCCTTCTCCCCTTCCAGACAGAAAAAGCCGGGGGGAAAACTCCCTTCCTGGTAGCCTGTTCAAGATTTACAGTGTCCTTGCCTATCATCCAAAGAAAAACAACTTTCTTGTAAGAAGATGGTTAAAATCTGGAATAAAACTGCAATTTATATTTTGGGAAATGGATGGGCTGTAGTGCAAGTTAATACTCATTTTTTAGCTGTTCATTTCATGGGTAAGCTCTTCATGTGCACTTGCAGGATAATGCATGGGGAATGGGTTAGTAATGTTGGAAAGGTGTACCACAAAATTTTGCCTCTGGGAGGAGGGAGAGTGGAAAAGGCTAGTCCAGGACTTGTGAAGATATGTGCATACACATGCTTTTTAAAAATCAATTTCACTTCCCAAAGATTAATTTCTCTCTGTTTCAAACAGGGTATTGCAGAGATTCTGGAACGAGAGCAGCACAGTTTTGAAGACACATCTTGCCAAACAAACTTGTGTGTCACTTAAAATTTGTTACACAGTTTTAGATAACTGTCACTTCTCCCAAACTTCTGCATCTCCCCTGCCACACGAAAACACTTCAGGTGTTTCTCACTACCCAGTTACTTTCCAGCTATCTCAGGTATTTTATTCTTCGGTACCAAGTCTGAAAGATAGCTTTGGAACCAAAGCAAAGCATTCTTATGGTTTCTTGGCATCTAATGTAAATGAGTGAGAATGCAGATGCCCTGTAATCTCCTTGATTTATCAGATTTTTTAAAAATAAGATTATCTGTAATATGGAAATTGAGCAGACTTGTTTCTTTAATGGTGTGTCAAGCAGCTGCTCTTTATATTACTTGACAAAAGTTAAGATCATTTCTGTGGTAAAAGTACATTAATCTTAGAGGCAAGGAATAATGTAATTTTATGAGCTCAAAGCTGTAAAGCCACTTTGTAACAGCAGTTGGACTACTGTTGTGCCAACAATTCAGTTCTTCAGAATTTGCAGAGCTGCATCTTCAGCTGCTAAATTCCTGTGTATTACTTCAAGTCATAATTCCTCCTGTGCTAAAAATACCCACAAACAACCCTCATGTCATCAGATTGATAGCAGGTGCTGCTAATACAACTGACCACCTCAGCTGCCTTGGCCTCTGTGTGTAAGTAGGTATAATCAGTGTAAATTGTGCCTTTGACTTTGTTTCTGTGAAGCTAAGGAATATTGACTTCTGTGTTATGCAAAGATACAAGCTCAGCAGTCTGATATGACCAGTTGTGGGTCAGCAGCTGATGGCAATAGTCTAAAAGTGCTCTTTCTTCTGATGCTTAATATATGGTTGTCTCTGCGGCAGTAGCAGCTGCTGTCTCTACTCTTAGGAGGTGAAAGTAACAAAAATGATTCTGAAGAGCTTTCACTCTTAATTTCTTCTTTTAAATCCTGCTTTTTTTTTTTTAAGAAACATGAAAGGCTTAATATGCTTCTTTTGAATACCTTTATCTTCTCTGGTCTATATGACTTAATTAGCTGTAGTAGAAGTGGGCAGAGGAGATAATTTAATCTCTATTACTCAGTGGGATCAGTGTCTTCTGTCATCCTCTGCCATGCCATCAAGTATAAAAGTGCATAAAACTCTTTGCTCTTCCTTCCTCACCTTCACTTGAGGCACAGCTCATTAGTGCAATTAAGAGTGTTTGCTATTGTGGTTCAGAGAACCTGTTTTTTCCCCTGAAAAATCAGGACCCACTGTAGTGCCTGGGCCCCAGCTCCTACTCTGTCCAATTTTTCGCTGCATGAAATTGAGCCTGTCTTCAGAGCAGACTCCACAGTCTCTGTGGAATGTGGACTCTGAGTTTCAGCTGAGGTGCTTGATCTAGAAGCAAGGGGTTTTTAGGGTGCAACATGCAGGAGATGCAGGTCCTCATGGTGACACCTATGGAG